ATCCATCACTTCTAAAACTGTCTTGTTTACTTGTGTTTACTGTCTGCACACCCACCTAGATCAGCTTCTGGGGAGAAGGGCCGTTGAGTTCCCCACTGTTCCCCCAGCGGCTGGAGGAGTGCTCTGTCCATAGCAGGTGCTCAGGATTTGAGTGAATGCAGCTGACCTCACACACGTGTGGTTGGCCTTTCCCACTGCCCCCCAGGAAACCCTATTATTCGTCCTAACAACGTCAGCTGTTCTGTGCCCCCGCTGGGGCAGTCTTGCTCATTTGGTCCCACTAACACCGCTGAGGAGGTGAGTCACCACCCGATGAGGTTGAGGCTTGGAACTGCTCAAGGTCACTCACTGGCGGGGGGCAGGCAGAAACAGAGAGGATGGGAATGGGAGGGTATGATCAACAGCCAAGGGCTTGCCCCTATCAAGTAAGCCAGCCCCTGAAAAGGGCTGTGTACGTGTCACATGTGTGGGGACAGAGAAGGATGTGGTGACCGCGTCACCTGGAGGTGTATCTGTGGGGCTGGATGCTTGTGTGCAGTCCTCAGCCTGGAGGCACACAGAATACTCTCTCCTGCCCTTAGGAGCAAGCCTTGGACCCCACATCCCATCATTCTGGCCGTGCCCACGACTGAGCAGAGCCCTGGACAGGGAGCAAGGCCCAGTGAGGACATTTCCGACCAGCAAAACCCCTCCTACCTGGGCTGGGTGGGCAGGTGAGCTCCAGGGCTAGTCTAAGGGTAGTGGGGAGCCCCCCAGGCTGTGGCCAAGGGGATGAGGGCGGGGCTCCTGCCAAGCTCAGTGTCCTCCCCAGAACCTGAGTGGGGAGACTGACAAGAGAATCGCACAGAGGCAGAGCCCAGGTCCCATGCCTGGCTCTGCCAGAGGTGCCTGGTGGCCTTGGACCATGTCCTGACCCCTTCTGCCTGTGGGCTTGACCCCCAAGACCATGGGGAATCCTGGTGAGGAGACCCTGGAAGGAAGGGGGAGAGGGATAACCGCCCTCTCCAAAGCCTAGAATGAAGCCCTGGGGCCCTCCTGCAGGATGCTGCCCGCTCACCCCCTGGCGGCCGGGGCCTGAAGTGCAGCTCCAGCCGCTCCGGAATCAGGATCCGGAGGACCCAAGGTCAGGAGGCACTGCGGCCGCTAACGGGTCTTCTGCATTGGCCCCAAACGGGCTTTTTCCCAAACGGAAAAAGGACACTCCCCCAGAGCGCAGAAGGGGATCCAGAAATGCTGGGCAGAAGACATCACGGGAGGGGCCCCTGCCTGGGACTCACCTGTGCACCCCAGACCTCACCCTGCCTGTCTCAGGGCCCTTGTCTAATTTTAGCAACCTGTTGTGGGCTTCCAACCTGGGCATTAGGACCTCACCCCACTCAACGCGGGCACCATGCTAACTGGGCACCAGAGGGACAACTTGGGCCACCTCGAATGTACTTGGCCAGCAGGCCCACAGCACCAGCCCATCCCCATCTAGCACCACCCCTGCAGGAGGCGGGGGGGGGGTCAGAACCAGGCGGACAGCGGCTCACGGCTGGGCTGGGAGCACCCGGAGCTGCCCCAGCTGCAGCCTCAAGGGATCAGAGGCCAAGCACACTACGTAACCGAAGGCTGGGGATGGGCTCAGCAGAGTCCACGAGAGCATCGGGACATCTGGAATGCCAGGATTGAGGCCAAGCCAGTCCGAACTCGAGAGGCCGGGACGTTCAGAGTTGGGAGGCCAAGGTGCTCAGCAGCACTACGAGTCCCCAAACCCAGAGGACAGCAGATGCCCAATTTGCTGGTCAAGAGAGCACAGGGCGGGGGCTAAACCATTCCATCCCAGAGTGAAGGGGCCCGATGGCTTCACCGGCTGGCCAAATCTCACCCATGTGTGCTCATGTCCCCCACCTGTGTGACAGAGCTGGGGGAGCTCTCCAAACCAGCACCTTCCCCAGTGTCAGCACTCCAGGGTCCTAGCAGGGCCACCCTCTCCCAGTATCACATGGCAAACAAGCCATCATTGGAACCCAATCCTACGTGGATTAGTGACTAAATTATTTACTCTTACTCTCAACAGAGCAGGGTTGCTCCTGCCATGCCCATCAGCAACTCCAAAGACCACAGGGCACACAAAATCCTCAGCCTCCTTCCCACCGGGCCACCACCCACGCTGTGCAAAACACACGAGCTCTGCAGCAGGGCCCGCTCTCACCCGGGCACACACGCACCTGCCCGAAGCCCGCTGCCCCGGCCCGGCTTCGACAGTCCAGGGCGCAGCTTTGAGCCCCCCTTACACCCTATCTGCTCCAGGCCCGAGCCAGACAAGCGGTAGGGGAAAAAGGACACCTTCTGGCGAAGCCCAGAGGCCAAGGGCAATATCTCTGAGAACACTGAGGCCCCTCACAACACAGAAGCAAAACCAGAGGCAGAAATCACTGGAAAATAATGTTTATTGAGATCCCACCAGCTGCACAATCTGCTCCTGCCATTAAGCTCCTTCTTCCTTTGCAATTCGGTCTTTCTTAAGTGGTCCCTGTGGAGAGGGCAGTGGGCAAGGTCAGAGGGAGGAAAGCAGCTGGGCACGAAGAATAAATACCCCCCACACACGCCGATGGGATCAGACACTACGCGGACTCCCGGTGTGGGCACAAGCTCAGGACCCCCAGGAGCCAGCCCAGCTGCGTCCTTCTGCACCAGCACCAGATGGGCAGGCGGCAGGCTGACAGGGGACATCAACTGGGAACCATCCCAACCCCAGCCAGAGGGCGGCCAGGTCAGGGTGCTCACCATGAATGCTTTCTTCTCCTCCACCGTCTGGAATCGGCCGTGGCCAAACTTGGAGGTGGTGTCAATGAACTTAAGGTCAATCTTCTCCAGGGCCCGCCGCTTGGTCTGCACCAGCAAGGACTATGGGCCAAGAGCGGAAGGTTAGTTTCGAAGAGCTGGGCCACCCTCTGCCTCCTCTTGGTCCCCAGGTCCCCTCAGTAGAGGGCAGAGGATCAACAATCTCAGCCCCTCCCGCAACACCTCCTGGCTAGCTGGTTTACCCAAGGATCTCGCCCTGCCGCCAGACTGAGCAAACAACGCAAGCACAGCAAACAGCTGGGCCAAGCCCGACTGGGAATTTCCTCCTCCCAGGACTTCAAAGCTGCTGTTTGAGTGGCAAGCCCCCCCACTTTTCCTTTGAACTCCCCTCCACAAAGTGCGGGCACTATGTTCCGCTGTTACCCATCACTCCCCCCTCTGCTGGAGGGCCGAGCTCCCGCCTACCCGCCCTGACTGTGGAGCAGGGCCCCGACCTCACCTTGCGGAGAGTAAGCACTCGCTTCTTGGTTCCCACCACACAGCCTTTCAGCATGACAAAATCATTGGTCACTTCACCATAGTGGACAAAGCCACCCTGGAAAAAACCAAGGCGCCAGGTCAGATCAAGCACAGACAATACACACGAACGACCCCTTCAGGTTCAGGTGGTCAGCTGCCCGATGACCGCCAGGCTGTTCTCAGAAGGAAGGCAGCAAGGAATGTTTCCGCAGTCTGACTCGGGCGCTGTGCCCAGCGCTCATTCCAGAGCCTCATCACTGAACAGCTGGGTCTGAGACCCCACTTCTCACCAGCCAGCCCCACCAGTGGAAGACCCGGCATTTACAAGGAACAGACAGCTGGGTGCGGTCTGTGCAGGGGACATTTAACAGGCTCTGGAAACATGGCCTCCATGCATCAGCCAGGACCCAAGAGCACTAGGGTCCCACCCCACAGGTGAGGCCTGGCGCAGAATCACACAGCATGAGGGGAAATCCCTGCCAGAGCTAAGACTCTAGAGGCTGTGAGAAGACAACTCTCGTTACTCACCAGAGGGTTGATGCTCTTGTCAGATAGATCGTAATCAGTGGAAGCATTGTTCTTGATCAGTTTGCCATCCTTGATGAGGTAGCCCTGGCCGATCTTATAGATCTAAGTAAAGGAACATGCATTTTAACACTGAGAGGGCAAGACTCACGTGTCCCTGGACAGCAGGCTGGCTACAGGACAGCCAGCCACCAGGGGCAAGTAACCCTCAGCTCAGCACTGGGTTAACCAGCACAGCACTCTGGATGGAAAGCAGCTACCAGTCCCTGACGAGGGACCCCAGCCTAGGGGCAGAAAGAAGAACCGGCTGGGCCTGAAGATACTGCCACTTGGCTGAGACAGTGCACGGAGGCCTCCCCCAAACCCTCAGAGGCGAAGGAAGGGACAGACAAGGCTGTCATCCCGGGTCACTCCAAGTCAGCTGTACCAGAACCACCTTTGACGACACCTTACAAATCCCACCCAAGACCCCAAACCATGCCCACCAGACAAGATGAGCACCTCGAGTCCACACGCATTCCAGAAGCTCCCCACCGCAGCAGCGCTAACGGGAACCAGAAACCACACCCCCAACACGGGGCTCATCTTTCCCTTCCCCGCGTCAGTCTCCACAGGAGCCCCCTTGGCACCTCACCTTCTTGTTGATCTCAGTGCGGTGATGGTAGCCTTTCTGCCCAGCCCGAGCCACAGAGAACGCCACTCGGGCGGGGTGCCATGCCCCAATGCAGGCAACCTTGCGCAGGCCCCGGTGGGTCTTGCGGGGGAGCTTCTTAGTGTGCCAGCGGCTGGTGACCCCTGCGAGAGACGCGAGCTTGTCACTGGCCCCTTTCGTGCCGAAGGCCAGTTCACCCACTTGTGGCGCACGCACACAGAACATTCGACACACGGTTTAATGTCCTCTCCCCCCTCGTATTTCCTCAGGTTGACCACAAGGCTAGACATAAACCTGTTCTCAGCCTGTAAGAAAAGGCCTTGGAGGATCAGCCCCGAACTAGAAGGGGACCATATACGCTTCACAGCATCCACCGAGTTCCTCGCCGGCAGAGCCCCCGTCCCCCCAACTTCCCAGTCCCCTCTGCCTTCTGCACCGGCCTGCAAATGCGAGGGATTCAGATGGATGGGAGGGATCTCCCCTAGTCCTCCACACTTCCCTCACGCCTGACCGCACAGCTGTTCTCGGAAGGCAGGCAGCGAGGCAAGTTTCTGGAATGTTACTCAGGCCATGCGCCAGGCACACACTGCACAGCCTCAAAGGTCTGGACCTGAAACCTAAGTTTTACCACAACTTGGCCCACCGCAAAGCTCACCCTTGTAGCCTTTGCCCTTGGTGACACCGATGACATCAATCATCTCGTCCTGCCCGAACACCTGGTTCACAGGCACCTGCTGCTCCAGCCTCTCGCGGGCCCAGTCCAGCTTCTCGGCCACTGTGCCCCCGTTCACCTGGATCTCCATGAGGTGGGCCTTCTTCTGGCGGAGAGGAAGCAGACGCATCTAGGACAGAAGCAACAGAGCTTAGATCCCGAGCTTCGAGCTCTCCTTCCACGGCAAGGGAACTCGGTGGGCAGAACCGTCTGGCAACCCTGAACCTCAAGTCTCCCTACCAGCAAAAAAAAGACTCATTCCTGTGTTCTAACCCCCCAATGGGTACGATTCCCCTTTTCAATTCTGACGCCCAAGTTCACCATGATGAGCTGATCCGTAACAGACACAAGGGCCATGCTAACACAAGGAGACCAGAGACAAGATCCTAGGACCAACTACCCCATGTTCCTCCTCATCAGCAGGATTCTGGCCGTTCCCTCTGGGGTACTGCCCTGGTTTACCCTGGCCATCTATCTTGGTCTACTCACTGTCGGTAAGGCATTTACAACGTGGGAGTGGAAATAGCACCTCAGTCAAGGGTACAAGCTGCAAATATTAGGGGGAAAAAAGGAACTCAAGCCGAAAGCTTTTCATTAAGAGCAGCCCAGCGCTGTTCTACGGAACGTTCTTCAGTAATAGGCATCCAAATGTAAGCAGATATGGTCATTGCTAACCGCAGGGAAAACGAGTACTTAGGAACTGGACGTAAACCTAAGATGATGGCTCAGACCAAGTGTATGAGGTAGCATTCTAACCGAGTCAGGAAAAGGCCCGCTCCGTTTGTAGCAAGTCAGATTTGAGCGCAAATGGCCAACATCCTACTACTGCCTACTGTTTTCAGGTAGGCGTTTTACAACATTAAGGAGTCACCAGTTCCTCCACCACTTTTTCTACAATGGGGCACGGTTTCCCTAATACAAAGCCCATAGAGACACAGCGCCCTCTGCTGGCAACAGAGAAACCAACCCACCAGCCTGGAGGCAGCCCTGGCTGCCTTCTCAGACCAACGGTGTAGTCTTAGCCTGGCCCCAGAAATCAACGGCGGCGCAGGTGCCCCAGGCTGATCGCTGGATGCCCATCCATCCAAACAAGCCTAAAGAACCGGAATCCGACTTACCATCCCTCTAAAATCCTGAGACTGGGCACAAAGTCAGCTTGAGCTGAGGATCAACTCAGCAGGTAACCAGGTAAGCACAAGGTAGTTACCTTGAAGCAGTGGGACAGTCGCCCTCCTTTTGTGCCCCTTGTCAGAGTGCTCACCTGGGTGTGGGCGATGACGCGGATCACCTGGCAGTACTTCTTCATGCTGTTGAAGTCCTTCTCCAGCTGCTTTTTGCCATCATCATCCTGCCACTTCTTGCAGTATTTGGTGAAGGCCTTCTTCTTAGACTTATGCCTTCAGGAGCAGAGCAGAGTTGGGGAGGGGGCCGGGTGCAGGCCTTCATCACCCCTCCAGGGGGTGAGCGGAAGGCACACTGGCACCACATGGGGACAGGGCTCATTGCCGGCTTCTAAGGAGCCTTTTCCACCGGCAAGCGGAGCCTGGATGGAGCTCATCGGGCAGAGCCGAGCGGAGCTGAGCAGAGGTGCACAGGATTAACGCAAGTCACAGCATTCAGGCACACGCGAATTCTTGCTCCGGCTTAGCCATCAACCCACCCACACTCCCAGGCAGCACTGGGGGAGTTACACTGCTCTGTTTTAACCGGACTCTCAACACTTCCCAGAACTGAGAACACTGAATACCGAGTCCTCAGCCAACACCCACTAGGGTGAACATGAAGGTCTGTCCTCCTATCTGTTCTGTTCAGGAGGCAACTAAACCACACACCAGAGCAGCTCTCCCCCTGCTACAGAGAAGCCCAGCACAGGGTATTCTCTTCTCTCCTAATCCTAGTCCAGGGCCTCCTCACCCCTTACCAGATTCTGTTTATTTGAAAAAGAGTGAGGGAGAGGGGACATGAGCAGAGGGAGGGAGAGGGAGAAGCAGGCTTCCTGCTGAGCAGGGAGCCACATACAGGACTGGATTCCAGGACCCTGGGATCACGACCTGAGCTGAAGGCAATGGCTTAACTCACTGAGCCACCCAAGTGCTCCATCCCCTTACCAGTTCTTATAGAACCGCCTTTTGCATTCATCACTGATGTGCTCGGCAAAGATGGTCTTAAAGGTACGGAGGCCTCGAGGGGTTTCCACGTAGCCCACGATGCCCACAACCACCATGGGTGGCGTCTCCACAATGGTCACAGCCTCCACAACTTCCTTCTTGTTCACCTCTGCCGAAGAGAGTGGTCAGACTTGAGTGGGATGGCTAGAATCGCCCACAAGGGATTCACGGTGTTTTGTGTGAAATGCCCATTTAGGTCGAGAGAGCAACGTGCTTTGGGTAACAGGCAACTTTGTGGAAATGGGGCCTTATCACCAGTCTGGACTCCCAGGCCTGTCCTTACCACATACAATTCTAACTCAAAAAAATTTCAGGACTCTATGACAAACAGTCCAGCTTCAATTCTCATCACAAATCTCTAAAAGCAAATTCCTTATTACCTAGATAATACAAGACTACGAAGTATAATGGGTTGTGGTAATAGCTGAGCTCAGCGTAGACATTCAATACCAACATTAGTATGTACCATGTGGTTCAGTAGCCAGTATCTTTTTTTTATTTTAAAGATTTATTTATTTGATAGAGAGCGAGCCAGAGAGCACAAGCGGAGGGAATGGCAGAGGGAGAGGCAGAAGCAGGCTCCCCACCGAGCAGAGCCCGAAGTGAGGCTCGATCCCAGGACCCCGGGACCATGACCTGAGCCGAAGGCAGACGCCCAACCATCTGAGCCACCCAGGCACCCCACCAGTGCTGTTTTACTTAGTGATTTTTCTCCTTTGCACTTCATAACCCAGCGACACAGGCAGCATTCAAGCTTTTAGATTAAGGTGCACCGGTACTAATTAGCATACTCCTCTACGCTGTGGCCCTTGAAAAATATACTCACGTGCTGCTCTGACTTCAATACATCCCCCCACCTAAAGCAGTAATGCCAGCCACCTGTAGCCTTTAGTAGGAATCGGTCCTAACGGAGATTTCCATCCTGCCAAGAGAAGGTCTGCCCTCCTTTGACTAGTCTAGTCCATCCCCATCCTCCGCTCCTAACCACCACCCCCAACCAGTGTGAAGGGTCCTGCTTGTACTCACTGGATCCTGGCCTGTCCACCTCCCGAACGATGTGAGTCATGCCAGCCTTGTAGCCCAGGAAGGCTGTGAGGTGGACAGGCTTGGAAGAGTCATCCTTGGGGAAGCTCTTGACCTTCCCACGGTGCCGGCTGCTGCGTTTCCGAGGCAAGAAGCCCAGGGACCCATGCCTGGGAGCGGAGAACTTCCTGTGAGACTGGGCAGAAAGGATCAACGTTAGCACTCAAACTTGTGTCAGGCAGCTCACTTCTGATGCCCGGCTTTGCCTCAGTGGTGGAAGGATCCGCCGCAACGCGTAGTCCACACCCGAGACCGGCGGCCCAGCTAACAAACACGCTTTCAGGCTGGCCTGGGTTCACTCTGAGAAAGGTCACACGACCTAAAGGACTTGAATCTTTGCCACAAAACCTCGTTTTTTGATCTAAGAAAACGTACCCTCCCCTTTTTCCTCTAAACAGGACAAAAGCACACCAGCTGATGTCCTTAAAATCATTTCACAGGTGGCTTTACGATCAAGTCAACACAAAACGGCTGCTGGGACCAAGAGCTGGGTGGCAGACGGCACCACAGGCTCCCCCGGCTAGAGCGACACCCGAAGGCCACCAGAACTCGACGGAGCCAAATCAGAACATGACGATCAGCACAGAGCCTCTGTCCGCCCGTCAGGGAGTTCATCATCTGTGGTTCCGGGGAACTCCAGAGGCCTTACACCGGGTACCAACGTCCCACCCAGGTCAGCCCGAGGCCTCCGCAACCCCGGCCCAGGGCCCCCTCCTCCCACGTGCTACCGTGATTCCTGCACCTCCCCCGGTCAGCACGAACAGGGCCCAGCGCCCCCACTCAAGGTCCTCCCGACCACTGTGCTCACAGACTCCAATCTAGATCCACACTCAACTGGTGAGCTCGAGAAATGATCTGGGACTTGAAAATTTCCGGGCTCGGGGCCTCCGAACCGGAGCCCGCCCCGCCGGCCTTCGCCAGCCCCAGGCCTCCGCTGTTTTCAGAAAATAGGCCTCACTGTGGATCTCGCTAAGTCTCCCGTGCTCCCGGAGCAGGCCCCCCGCGCCCGCCGAGTTGAGATGGCGGCGATGCGCCACGGATTGAGCCGCACCGCCGCGCCAACAAAGACGAAAACGCCATAGTGAAACGTACCATCACGCCGCCAAATGCTACCGGTAGAGGTCGGACTGCGCTCGACGAGCCATTTATAAAGCCCAGCCTGGGCCCGCCCCTTCCGGCGTGCGAGCGCGCGCCCGCGGTGGACGCCGGGTCGTGGGGCGGGTAAGGGTCGCCATTTCCACGCACGCTCGTCCCCGCCTAGCGTTCGTTCGGAGCTGGACGTCACCCTCGGGGGCGGGGATTAGGGACTACGGCGAGCGACCGCGTTCAAACTTCGGGAAGAGCCGCGGAAACGCTGGCGGAGGATTGGACTGCGGCAGCCGTAGGGCTTTAGGTTGCTGCCAAATTTGCTGAAAGACGCCGTTACGCTGAAGCTAAGTAGCTGCGTCTTTTTTTCATATGAAATGCAGTCACCTCCAGGATTGAATAACCCAGCTGTGGGTTTCAGTTCCAAAGCGCCTTCGCACGTGGTGTGCCATTTCTTTCTGTCCCACACAGTAAATCCGCGGTGTTGCCATTGGGCGGGGGGAATAGGTTGGGACGAGTTGACCCGCTGCCACCTGCTCAAAGTTG